CTCAAACAGTAAACTAGATAACTTTGCCAAAAGCAGATGTGCATTGGATAAAGATTTCAGTGTGTTATTGGTGGGACTTCAAAGCGGTATCACTGGATACCAGCACCGTTGTAAGGACCACAGTCCACCTTAATCGACTTCAAAATATGGATGACGTCACGCTTGAATTCATTCAGAAATACTCAATTTTTCTCTACTACTCGGTAATGCGAGGACCGCTGTGGGGATCAGGCTACGCCAAAAGATCATGGATTTCGATCAGAGAATGCGACCGTACCCAGGTTATTTAACAAAGTTAGCAGCCTCTAATTATCACCTCCTTTGGTCCCTATCGCATCCTTTAGAAAAAAATTCGAAAATCGACGTCTACTCAAAATGAGGTCCACCTCTTCTTTTTATCATAGTTGCCGTAGTTCTATAAGAATGGAAATGAGAAGCTGTGCAAAAGAAGGGCACTAGTCCTAGTCATTAACTGGTGATTACCTTGCAGATTGGAAATGTCTTCTAGTGAAGAAAAACTTGGTCAAAGTGTAGCAGGTTTTCCGTCCAGCCTGATAGATGTTGCTCCCTACCAGATATTCTAGCCTTACCCCCCCCCCCTCCCTCTGAGGAACCTCATTTTACTACAGCCCCGGATGGCCCATCGTGATTGCCATAAAATATCTACATTTTTCGACCCCCCTCCCTGATAAGTGTGGAGATTTGCATTGGATGTATTTGCGTGGATGATTTTCAGACAGTTCATCTGGCTGAGTGCATGAGCTGCTTAGAGATGGGAATAACAATTGTTTGCTCATAAGGCAGCAGCAAGCAGCACACCAAGACACCAGAATAAGGCTGTCTGGAATTGCTCACGACACGCTTGGGAGCAGCATAATACTGAATCATTTTGGCACAACTACTAATGCGATCAACTTCATGCAGAGGTACACTTCTTGCCTTGGAGTTGGAGAAGGCGTGGCTGTGTCCTTTATCGCGGAATACAGTAGCGGAGAAAAAAATTGGATCAAGCTTTTCCATTCGTTTCATCTTGTTTCTTCTCTTCTTGACACTGCTATTATCTGATTGTTGAACACATAAAAGAGGCGCCAAAATTTATTGCGAAAGACTCAAA